ATTTGCACGCTAGCCCACATCTTGACCATACATGTATCCTTTTTAGCTGTTAATCATATGGTCAAAAAGTAGGCGAGCGTGCAAATAATGATGTATACGTAGCTTAGGTTGCATTTTACAAAGAAAAATAATAATTACGTTGAAATCCCAAATGCACTTATAGTACTGGTTGGAAAAAATTATATACCCTAAAATAATTGTTGATTTTAAAATTAGTATTTTTTTTTTCAAGAACGATAGATTTTAAAATTAGTATCCACACAAAAGTATTAGTACAACAAAATTTTAAAATTATAAAGGTAACTAATATAGAAAAATAATTGTACTTTAACAAAATATTTTGATGTGTCAATGTTGAAATTATTGATTTTAAAACTAACATGGGATAACTGTACTAGGTCGACTAAACCGGAGAGACAATCGAACCAGACCAGACTGGTCTTCAGGTCGAATGAAGGATGAGAATCCTAGGTCGAAAGACCCTCAGGTCTCATGTCGAAGGAGACACTGAAGGCGCATATTACACTAACAGATCGAAAAAAAGTCCTTTGGAGGGCCTGGTCGTAACACACACCGAAAGGGCATATGGTCGAGGGATCGACCAGATGAACAAGACGATCCACCTCGAACAAGACGATCCACCTCGAGGTAATCAGGGACAAGTGCAGGATTAGACCATCTAATATAGAGGACTAAGTAGATAAGAGAGAATCTTAGGGGAATTAAATCCCCACATGGGCAAAACCACGTGGCACCACCAGATTGGTCCACGCCTCATAACCGTCTCTAACATTCCGGATGGCTATGACAGCCTTGACAACCGAGGCAGATCACGCGCTTGCTATGGTGGAGCTCACGCGCCCAACTTGGGCCCTAAGATATCATCTCTATATATAAGCGAGTGAGGTATACCTTGAAACACATTACATTCTCTATTATACTCCATATAGCACTTTATCTTCTTCAAGTGCTAACTTAGGCATCGGATGCTCTTCACCGGAGATTCCTTCTTGTGTGAGAGTTCTGCAGGTTCGAGCACGTTCAACATGCAACCAGCTCGAGATTCAGATGTTTCTAACTCGCTCTATCCGGTCGGAGGTCACTGCTATATCATTTGGCGCCGTCTGCGGCACTTTCGTTCAAAAAGTTGGGTTCATCATAGCCATGGCGGGCAAAATTCCCATAAAAAACTTGGAGCATAACTTTGACGATGTGTGGCTGAACATGTATCCGTTCGAAGTAGGCCCGCCCCCGGGTTTATCTGGACCTTCTTAGGCTCCGATGACCCCGATGTCTTTTCCTATGGGTTTAGGGACTTCATTGGTGGCCCCTGGTGACGTTGTAGACTCGAGTCAGGCCCCGGAGACTCAGGCAGCTCAAGGAGCAATTGTTTGGAAAGCGGAGATGGTGGATCCGGTGGGCGCGCAACCAGCATGAGCGGTGGTTCAGGTGGGTAAACCATCAAGGAAAGAAGCGAAGCGAGCAGGTCAACAATTGCTCACGATGTCGAGGGAAGATCTGGACCTATGATCGCCACTGCCGTTGCGGCTGGTATGGATAGGCAGGCCACTCACCATACTTCTCAGGCCAACACCACGCCGACTACGGTGGTGGCCACTAACCAGCAGGAGACTGAAGTGGAGGAGTCCACGCATGAAGAAGAAGGAGGTCGAAGGGACCGGGCTTTGGAGCGGATGTCTGAGCAGTTGTGCCAGCTGCGGGCCAAAGTGGATGGAAGACTGACGGGTCAAGCTGGAGGCCATCCCTTCTCGACGGAAATTCTGGAGGATCCATTCTAGGTGGGCGACTTGGAACGAAAAGAATCGACGTGCTGAAGCATGTAGGCAAGCTGGAGCCAAATTGGGAAGGTCCATACTTGGTCGACAAGGTCCATGCTGGAGGAGCAAACTCATTAAAATATGCTGAATGAAGGTCTCTACCCAAGTCATGGAACATTGCGAACTAGAAAAAATATTATGCTTGAAAAAAAATTCTTTTATATCGTGGATTGTATGATGCAATTTATCTCGTTTATGGTGATTAATGGAAATATAAGTTGCGGCTTTATTTTATTGTGTTATCATGTTTGGTGTGCTTGTGTGTGACCCCAGTGGCAGATCACTTTGGTTTTTTTCAAAACCAAACATGATAAAGACTTCCGAGCTGGGTATCGATCCGAGAGAGCTTGGTAGTCACTTGTTTTGAACAATTCTAGAGTTGGCAGATTGTTGCAACTAATGCTGCCTAATGGATCATATGAAAAAACGAGTCATGGACATCCATTAAAATAATGTAATTTGCAAAAGATATGGAATTTTTCCCATGTTATAATTGCGTAAAGATTATTATTGACTTTGCCTATAACTGTAGCATCAGTAGAGAGAAGTTTTTCTAAATTGAAGTTGTTAAAATCTTATTTGAGAACATCTGTGAGTCAAGATGGATTGAATGGGCTAGCTATTCTATGCATCCATAAGGATATTATTGAAAGTTTTGAGTATGGAGACATAATTGATGATTTTACAGCTAAAAGTGCCTGAAGAAGCCTTCTTAAGTAATTTCTTTACTGTTATTATTTTGTAGCAACAATATTGTTCTCGAGACATTATTTTTCCGTGGAAGCACTAGTGACATTATCTTTTGCAAGGTGAAAGCGCCCCGAGCCATTATTTTTTGTATGCATGATAAGTTTTTTATTAGATTATGCTTGTTTTTAGCTTTATCGAGAGGTTGTAATATTTTATAAATTGTAACTTTTTTTTATAAAAAGAATGTTGGATTATGAGCTTTGTAAAGACATTATCTTTTGTACTCGTGATAAGTTTTTTATTAGGTTTTACTTGTTTTTAGCTTTGTCGAGAGGTTATAATATTTTATATATTGTAATTTTCTTTCTTTCTTTTTTATTTATTTTATTTTATCTTTTTTTTTTACAAAAAGAATGTTGGATTGTTCTTGGTAATTGTATGATTTAAAATGTATTATTTTATTTCCTAAAAAAAGTACTTAGGACATTATTCATTTGACTCAGAATCTAATAATATTTAGAACCGACTCTGTGCGTACGTGGTCAATAGCAGGCAAATGAAAATCATCGGAAAATCATCCGAGCTCAATCTTTTTCCTACTACTCAACCGGTAATACTATTAAAACTCCTTTTTAGTCTTTAGTCTGTACGTTTACTTTATGGTGAACTCATTTACCTTAAACTAGTTTTGTTTAAATTGTTTTACTAGTTGCGTTTGCATGTTTTAGTTTTACGAATACGTTGAAATCTTTTCTAATGAAATATTTTGGCTTGACTAAACTTTGCAAGTTTTAGTTAATCTTTTCTAATGAAATATTTTGACCAGGCTAAATATTTGCATGTTTTAGCTTTATGAATATGTTGAAATCTTTTCTAATGAAATATTTTGATCTGGCTAAAATTTAATCCTTCATGATTGTTTATTTCTTTTGCAATAATATTTAATTTGTACGACACTCATGTGCTATATGAATGCATATAAAAAATAGTTTTAACAAAAATAGTAAAAGAGTTTAGCATTTTAGTATATACAAAATAAATAAATGGAGCAAAAAATTTAGAAATATTATTAACTCAATAATCAAATAAAAGAATATAAAAACAATTAATGTAGCTATGGTGTTAGTTAACTCAATTATTAAATAAAAGAATATAAAAAAAATTAATTATCAAATAAAATATTGTTAACTCAGTTATGAAATAAAAGGAACATTGTTAACTCAGTTTTGATCCACTGTCAAATAAAAGATCCATTGTTAACTCAATTATTAAATCAAGTGATCTTTAAAATAGAAAAATGAAATGTCTGACACTTAGACTCAACACGTTTTGAATTAATATATAAAAGGGATTGACAAACAATATTAACCTCAAAATGTTGAACTTCGGCCCCAGGCGGAATGAGAATGTAAGCAAATGTCCTTTTAGGAATGACGTGCAATATGGATTCAGTTTTTCCAGAACCCCAATATGAACACCGTGGTAAATATCATCGTAAACAAGCATAGCAAAGAGCCCAAACCCAATAACGACGACTCTAACAACGAGGATAGTCAAAATGCAGTTGATAAGATGTTTAAGACATTGCCCGCGGCCAAAATGCTCTCAATTGAATGAGGTCTTTCGCGGGTTTATCTTTGTATGCAACAATTACACAATGCAATATGATTTAAATAGAGCTCTTTGGTAACCAGTCTTACTTTTGACTAATGAAGCCTTAGATTATTCGCAACAATTATTTACACCACTCACCAGTTGCATCGCATTTTTTAGGTATGTTTGGTCTGTTAGAGTGTTTTTATCACCCTGATCTGTCAGATGTCGATGTATAAATAATGGCAACCGACCAAGGCGTCACACGGGGACCTCTTTTTCTTTTTCTTTTTTTTTTGGGTCTCTCTTGTAAAGAATAAGCAACACTATTAATTTGGAGCATAAACCAAGCACGCATGGAAATAAAAATTACAATCATTGAGAAATATAACGGCATACTCACTCCAGCCTGTAGCAATCGTAAAGGGTTGACATATCACATATGCATGAAGTGATGATAAAAGCATAACAGCAAAGCAAACTCGGTTTTGCTATTCCTTCTATTTATGGGAAAATGAAGTTGGCATTCTTTCCCTTTGGCCACAGTATGTAAAAACAGATATATCAATGTGCAACAGAAACAAGAAATGTTCTGATCTTCTGTAGAAGCTCAGCTTTTACAGAATCTGGTATAGAAGCTGCATATTTTTAAAAAAATCATCAGAAAGCGATTGCAAACTTTTACAAGGATGCAAAGTATCGAGAAACAGGTTGATTGAGGTGATCACTTAAACGAGTTCTCATTAAAGGGTCCCCGAGAAAATGATTTGTACTATAAACAAGACTTTTTAAGCTAAGGCATATAAAAAAACTCAACCACCAACTCTTCGTTTTCATTTACATAATCAGCACGAAAAGTTTGATAAACAAGTTTATATTGAACTACACACGACATGTTTACAAGAAGATCTAACTGTCATAGCAATGTAAAAGATGTTATGGAAGGAGAGTTTATTACCTCTGCCTTTCGGTGTAATGGCACGAACAAGATCGTCTACTGTGACATTTTCCCTACCATTCTTCTTTATAATCGCCCTAAAGAGCACAATTTTTGAATTAGAACACAATGGTTCGTATAGAGCCGGCACCACAGAAGCCAGCTCAACTGTCGGAGACTGTGCGAAGGCTAATGTATATGGGTGTCTCAGCACAATTCATATTTCTTTCTGACATGCATAAGCATTTATAATTATATAACCATGAAAATTTACATCCAGAATAATTTCTAGACAGAAATTTCGAGATTCCAATGGCTCTTTCGTTCAGCTCAGGCTCATTAATTCTTTCGAACCGAAAACTGGATTCGAGAAAGTTATGTATATTCATTCTAAATCACAGCAATTCTACAAACAATTAACTGATAACCAAATCGATTAACTAACTTTGTGTATGGAAAGAAGACGGATACCTGCAAAGAGCTCTCATTTCATCCTTCCAACCACACTCCAACAGCCTCTCCCTCACCAATTCCATCAACCGCTCCTTCTCTCCACTCTCAATCAACTGATAAATTATTTCAAGATAAATATTACTTACACTGGAAAGTAAGTAAAAATAAAGAAGAAAAGGAAAATTTCGACCTTAATATTGACGATCTCAAGAAGCGTAGGCTCCTGTGATCGGCGATCATCGTCGTCATCTTGAACGTCCGGCGTCGGCGGCCGATTCACCGAATGCCTTCTGCTCCTGTTTCATACAAAATTACAGGACGAAAAACAAAAAGAAGATATTAAAAAAGTTGAAAATTAGTAGAAGAGAAGTTCAATTCAAGAGTTTGATTAGAAGGCAGGGAATTACATATATGGTGGATCAGTAAAACCGGTTCAACAAGAAATCTATCTATGGCGATGGCCGACGGGATGCTGTTAGGTGTTAGGGCAATTTTGATAAGGAAAGACGGGACATGTCGATATCGCTTATTTGAATTTACAAAGACGTCCTTCTTTCTTTTTCATTTTCTTTTTTCGAAACAACTAGTACAACACCCGTGTATTACACCTGCTTGTTAAAAAAATATTCTTAAATTTTAAAATTAATGAGAAAACTATATTAAATTTAGTTTACTTTCTTACAAAAAAAATATATTAGTATATATTATAGAATGATATGTGTTACTTATAACTTACATGTGTTATATTATATTACTTTTTATTTTTATAACTTATATCATATAACTACTTGAAATATAAGTATATTAGTTGATAAATAATTTATTTTTTATTTAATATTAAAAATAATTTTATTATTGTTATAATGATAAATATAAATTATTTTTTTTGTACATACAATATGGATACTAAATCGAAGCTCATCAAAAGAAGATTAATTTGATATATTACATTGTAAAACTGATAAAAAATACAGAAGTTTTTAACTTTTAAAATATATATACAATTCAATAGTTATCATAAGGAATGATATTAAAATGCAATTAATACATGTAACATGAACATAAATAATCAACATATTTAGGGTAATCCGAACCTAATTATTTTTAGTTTGGAATTAAATTAAAATTTAGAGCATCTCCAATGCTCAAATGTTGTTATAGAAATTCTTTTGACAAATGTCAAAAAATTAAATAGATTGTGAACCATGTAGGACAAATGTTGAGTTCACAACTATTAAATTAAAAAATCATCTCCAATGCACAATGTTGCCTAATTAAAATATTATTTACTTGCCAAATAATAAAATATTAATATGAATTAATAAAATTAAATAAATAATTAAATGGTTTGAAAATGGTAATAATTCTCTCTCTTCTCCTTATTGGCTAATTAGAACGTGGAATAGAATGTGGATGAACCACATTCTTCTCTACATTGTGGACATTAATGTTATGGGTTTACTTAATTTTGTAATATTATGCTGTAATTTGAGCTTGTAAGTAACAGAAATGGGGGAAAATTAAGATAGAAGAAGGAGGAGGATGAGTAAGAGAGAGAGAGAGATTTTGATGATTCCAAATTCTGTTTTTCATTACTGCAAACATGCTCTTTTACATAACAACTCGTGGGGACCATATAATTTCCCACTTAATTCCCAATATGCCCTAATGTGATCCTTAAAGTAAAGAAAGAACAATAAAATAGTAATATTGGGCCATACTATGGGCCATTACAGATAATTCACTAAATAACTTTTCTTCTTGGGCCTGGCATTTTTAAATGATCCTCTCACGGCCCAATTTTGCTTGGCCCGATAATTCTTCTGAATTAGAATCTCCATCTTTTTTGACTTGTTCGATTTTATCGATGAACAAAGCACCGTCACCTCTATCTCCGGCCATAACAATACCCCCGGGTTGAGTTGATCCTTGTCCGCAAGGATCGAAAGATGGAAACTTTTTTTTGATACACCTCTCATCTTCCCAAGTCGCGGTCCCTTTGTCTCCATTCAACCACTGAACCAAAACCCTAGAAACTGAAAGCCCCTTTATTTCAATTGTTTTTCGATCCAACACCTGTAAAGGGAAGATCTTGAAGATTCCATCTGCATCAGTGAGAGGGAGATCTGAAGAAACCGATGCGTCTGGTCCCAGCTTCAGCTTGAGGAGCGAAACATGGAATACGGGATGGATGCATGACTCCGGCGGAAGAGCTAGACGGTAAGCCACTGCCCCTATTTTCTCAGTGATGGTGTAAGGGCCATAAAATTTAGCTGATAGCTTAAGATTTCGGCGCAAAGAAACTGAATTTTGGCGAAAAGGTTGTAATTTGAGGAAAACCTTGTCGCCCACATTGAAATTTTTCTCTTGTCTGTGCTTATCTGCTTGCATTTTCATTCTCTGCTGTGCTTGTATGAGATTCTCTCTGAGAATTTGAATGGTCCTCTGCTTGTCTTGCACCAACTCCTCCTGTACCCCATACTCTGGTTGTAAGTAGGAAGTGATTGAAAACATAGGAGGTTGGTACCCATAAAGAGCCTGAAAAGGAGTAGTTTTTAAGCTTGTGTGATAATTGGTGTTGTACCACAGCTCAGCTAGGGATAACCATTTGTGCCATTGCTTAGGGTTTAAGTGTACCATGCACCTGAGGTAATTCTCAAGGCATTGGTTTACTCTTTCTGTTTGGCCATCAGTTTGAGGATGGTAAGCAGATGAAAACTGAAGTTGAACCCCCATCAACTTAAATAGTTCTTTCCAGAAAGAGCTTGTAAAGATTTTGTCCCTATCAGAAATGATGCTCTCTGGTAGGCCATGAAGCTTGTAGATGTGGTCTAGGAATGTCTTAGCCACTGTTGGTGCAGTGAATGGGTGAGACATAGCTATGAAGTGTGAGTATTTAGTAAACCTGTCAACAACCACAAATATCACATCCTTCCCATTGGATTTAGGAAGCCCTTCAATGAAATCCATGGAAACATGGGTCCATGCTTGTTTTGGAACTGGTAGGGGTTGTAGCAAGCCCTGGTAGCTAGTTTTGTCAGATTTGTTTCTCTGACACACATCACATTCCTTAACTTTCTTTTGAACATCCAATTTCATTGAAGGCCAGTAGAAAACAGATTTTAGCCTTTGGTAAGTGCCATGTACCCCTGAGTGACCCCCATAAGCTGAATCATGCATAGCTGTCATAATGGATTCCCTAAAAATTTAGGTTGTTCCCAACCCCAATTCTTCCTTTATATCTGATAATTCCTTTTGAGAGGGAAAACCCAGGATAAGAGTCAGGTTTCACAGATAAGGCAGTCACTAACTTAGTGAAATAAACATCTCCTTGATAGCTTTGAATGACATCCTCCAACCAGCCTGGTACAAATGTGGAAAGGGCTGTGCATTCTTCCTCAGGTATCCTGGATAAAGCATCAGCAGCTTTATTTTCCAGCCCCTTTTTGTACTGGATTTCATAATCCAACCCCAGTAGCTTGGTGATCCACTTTTGTTGAAGGGGAGTGGTCATTTTCTGGTTCAGTAAATACCTCAAAGCTTGCTGATCAGTCCTTATGATGAACCTATAGCCCTGTAGGTAGTGTCTCCATCTCTGTACTGCCATTAATACAGCCAAAAATTCCCTCTCATAGATTGAGAGCCCTTGGTTTCTAGGGCTAAGGGTTTTACTCATGTAAGCAATGGGCCTTCCTTGCTGCATTAGGACTACACCAATCCCAGTTCCACTAGCATCTGTTTCTAAAACAAAGGGCTTAGTGAAGTCTGGTAAAGCCAACACAGGGGTTGAGGACATAGCTTCTTTAAGTTGATTGAAAGCTTGCTCAGCTTCACAGCTCCATAAAAAACTGTCTTTCTTGAGTAGGTTGGTAAGGGGCCTGCTGATAAGCCCATAACCTTTAACAAACTTCCTGTAGTACCCAGTAAGTCCCAAGAAGCCCCTCAGTTGTTTGACATTCTTGGGTATAGGCCATTGTAGCATACTAGCAACTTTTTGTGGGTCAGTAGACACACCCTCTTGAGATATGATATGCCCCAGGTACTCTACTTCTTGTTTGCCAAAATAACACTTACTTTTCTTGGCATATAGCTGATTCCTCCTCAGGTCCAATAGAACCTCCTCCAAGTGTTGTAGGTGCTCATCCCAGGTTTTACTGTACACCAATATGTCATCAAAAAACACTAACACACTTTTCCTGAGCTTATCTCTGAAAACCTGGTTCATGAGTGATTGGAAGGTGGCAGGGGCATTACACAATCCAAATGGCATCACTAGAAATTCATAATGTCCATTGTGTTTGCTAAAAGCAGTGAGGAACCTGTGCTCTGGCTTCATCAATATTTGAAAATACCCAGCCCTCAGATCAATTTTAGAAAAAAATTTTGAACCATGCAACTCATCAAGCAGCTCATCAATGATAGGGATGGGGTAATCATGTTTGATGGTCATATCATTTAAGTATCTGTAGTCCACACAGAGCCTCCATGTGGAGTCCTTTTTCTTAACCAATAAAACAGGAGAAGCAAAAGGGCTCTTGCTATCTTGGATTATCCCAGCCTCAAACATTTCTTTGACCAGTCTTTCAATTTCTTCTTTGTGTTTGTGAGAAGATCTGTAGGGATATTGATGTTTGGGTATGCTGTTTGGCTTAAGAAGTATCTGATGTTCAACTCCCCTGCTAGGGGGTAGCTCCTTGGGTTCCTCAAACACATCCTCAAATGTTGACAGTAAATGTTGCAGCCTGGGTCATGTGAATGGTCTTGTCCTTCTGTAGTTAACCAATAGAGTTCTTCAATGTCCTCAGGGTTTTGGTGTACCATTTTGAAAAGAGAAAGCCCTGATATGAATTTGCAATCTGTCATTCCAGTGAGTGCCTGTATTTTAATTCTTTTTCCCATCCTAGTGACTGTTACAGTCATTTTGTCATAGTCAAACTCAATTGGGGTGTAGGACTTAAGCCAGTCCCCTCCCAAAATAAGGTCACAACCTTCACTTTGTAGAAGCCTCAGAGGGTAGGTGAAGGTGTTACCTTGCATTTCCCACTTGAATCCATCCACCACTTGTGAACTGACCATCTTCTGGCCATTGGCCACCCTCACTAGCAATGGTTTTGTGCTACCAAGGTTGCAACCCAGCTTTTTGGCTGTCTTTTCTTGAATGAAGCTCAGGGTGCTCCCAGTATCAATAAGGATATGAAGCTTTTGATTCCCCAGTTCCCCCACAACTCTCATAGTAGTAACCCCATTTTCCCCAGTTATGGAATTCACAGTCATTTGCACCTCTTCTAGCCCCTCCAATGTAAGTGGCTGCTCATTAATGTCAGTGTCAGCCTGCAAATATGAGAGTTCCTCTTCTTCTGTCATGATCATGTAATTGATCCTTTGTTTGCACCTGTGCCCATAAGTAAATTTCTCATCACAATTGTAACATAGGCCTTTCTCCCTTCTGGCAGCCATTTCACTAGCTGTCAGCAGTTTGGTGGGGTTTTTGACAAAATTGTTGGAATTTCTTTGTGTAGGAAAACTGGTTGTATCAGGTTTTTTGGTGTTTGTGTAAGGAGTGAATGTAGTTGGCTTGTTGTACCCTTTGACCTTCCTGGTAATTGCTT